CATAGTCAAAATATCCAGTGAATGTTTAAATTTTAAAAATTTATTAATGTAAGAAATTGCCATGAATGCCCCTCAGTCTACTGCACCACAATCTGAAACCACTTGTCCCCTTGCTCTTACTACTTTCCAAAGCAGCTCTAGAAGTCTTCTTTTGTGTCTGTCTGTAAAAAGTATGATCAAAAATGCAATGAAGGCTGAGGCCAAGCACCATTCAGTGCAAAGGCAGGCCTGTAAAATCGTCAAGTGTGTCCTCATCCACCATATCCACTGGGTCTGGTACCACTTAATTTCTGGTTCTTTCTTAAAGTCAAAATAACTGTGGAAGGCGAACATTTTGAATTGGTTCAGGAAGCAGCTGTATATATCACAACAGCTAAGGACACTCACAAAAGAACACTTCCAGAACTTCTTCAGAAAGTGACAAGAAGCACAGAATCAGTGTGTCCAAAGCAAGGGGGACTATTTTGAGGAGAGTTCATGGCAATGTTTCTTTCACTGTAATCAATTTTTAAATTTTACATATTCACCACAATTTTCAATCAGACCTTGTATATGCATATAATATACTCCTCAATACACATGCACATACCCGTAACAGCTTCCCAACTTTGATCATAGCACTTTGTCATCCAGGTTTATGAATCTGAGTGTAGCATCTCTGTCATTTCTATACTATTCAACATAATTCACTATGACAAAGCTAATATGAAAGGGTTACTCCTTTAATACACAACTGATGGAGGTTGAGAGGCAGTTTGGAATTCTGCCTCTACCACAGCCTAACACCATGACTTTGAGTCAATTATTTAACTACTGAAGAGTGTTTCCTGCCTGTAAGTGCATTTACGATACCTGTTGGCTGGATTTCAAAACCTAGGACCAATGTCTAGGCATGGTGGTGCACGCCTGTAATCCCAGCACTCAGGAGGCTCAGGCAGAAGCATTGTTGGGAGTTCAAGACCAGCCTGGACTACAGAGTGAATTCAAAGTCAGCCTGAACAACACAGTGAGACGCTGTCTCACAAAGACAAATTAATTAATTAATTAAAAATTAAGAAATAAAGCCTGGGATCAGGCTTACATGAAATTGTATTCAGGAACACATTAGACTCCATCGGGGGATGCTCCCTGCACTTCCACCTGTCTGGGCTCCATAGGTACAATCTGGCCTTCAAATTCTCTAATGAGTTGGTTCCTGCCAGGCGGATGAGTCCACACAGCTCAGCACCTCAGGGGAAGCTCTACTTAGTTTCCATAAATTCCTCAATCCTCTGCATGCCCCAAGGCACTGCCAACCAACACCATATGCCCCCCATCCTAACCCCCTCCCAGGATGCAGCAAGACTAGCCCTAGCTCCTCACAGCTCTCCTGTACAGTGCCATCCAGCTCAAGGTCACCGCCTCCCTAAAATTTTGCTTTATGTAGAGCAGTTCAATGCCTCTACACTTTTATTTTAAAAACTGGCTTTCCTGAATTTAGTCAATGAATGCATAAATAAGAATTATTCTTTCTCCTATAACACTAGTATATATACCCACCTATTTATACATTACATTAGAATATTTGATCATTTGCATTTGTTCTGTGGTTATGTTTTCCCCTCAAGCAAAGTACTTTGAACACAAGAATAGTTTTCTTTTTAATCACATAAAATACTTGGTTTCATTAATTTTGATTGCACCAAATGAGCATAGCAGTAACTGTGACACTCTTCTGCCTCCACAGATTTCTTTACCTATATGTTTCTTTTCTCTGTACAGCTCTTCTCCATTTTACATTTATGATGAGGTACAATTTAAACCACATCTTGCCCATAAGACCTTTTGCTTCTACCTGAGTTACTCTATCTTTATATATACTCTTCCTTTATATCTCGTCAAGATTTTAAATATCGGTGTGCCACTTATAAAATGTGGGAATACTGGCAAAACATTTAATCTCTCTGAGACTTGGTTATCTATAACTCTCAAATGAAGGTAACAAACATTATGAGGGTCAGATAAAGTCATACATATGAAAGTTCTTTGAATATTAAACTGGGATGAACAAATGAAGGGGATAGTTATTATAGCTCTCGTCACAGTCTGTGTTGTTTTTAGCTACTCATCAGAGAATCTGTCTCCTGAATCCTTCTGAGGAGTCCAGGGATGGTAAGATTGTTTTCCTCATCTTCATAAACCCCTAACTCTGCTCAACACATGCAATAGCATCTTAGGATGTGTTGATGGAAAGCACTCAGTGCATATTGCAGAAGGCCCTTTTTCCTGCAGGGAAGCAGACATCTATAACAGTACAGATAATTCTGAAGATAACCATAGAAAACATTTGAAATGTACTAGCAGATGTTGTCAAAATGGGAGGAAGGAGTCCTTCCCCTCAGTAAGTGCACATGTTCACAGTCTGCAGAGCCAATAACCAACCCAATCCATCAAGCGAGACTATAGGAATCCAGGAAACAGCAAGTCCCAATTCTTCTAAAACAACAATCCACACCAGATGCACACTCTATTTTCAAGCTATGATATTGTGTTCTATTGTCGCACAGAGTTCTGGAGTACTCAGTCTTGCAGCAGAGTGGCTCAGCTGGAAGCCCAAATGGGATGAGGGTCCAGCTCTTGTGGAGGAGTCTGAATTGGACGTGAGATGTTTATATTCAAACTCAGGAACATTTTCCAACTAAGGATGTGATAAAGCTCTCTGTTGACTCACTGACTTCTTGCATCAAGAGGAGGTGACCTTGAGAACTCTTCTACAAACTCTTATTTATGTGATTTGCTCAGGAGCTTATTTTGACTTTCTGGGTAGCATTGTACCCACCCTTTCTGAGTCCCCACCATTCTGCGCTCATCTTTGCATGGCATACAACATGAGTTTCTCAGAAAATGCTGATCCCCAACTGGGTTATGTCATACCAGTCAGACTTCCTTCCTTATGATGTGTGTAACACAGAAACTCAATTAGTGAAATGGTATTCAGTTTGACCGTAGTGCCTCCAAAAGGAAATGTGTGTAACTGGTGTGACTTGAAGCTCTGAAAAAATCTGTGGGATGAAAATTCACATTTGTGACTCACTGCCATATAGCTAGCTATTCCAGGGCAAGAGATGATGAGAAAAGAAGGGGAGAAGTGGGAAGAGGAGAGAGGAGAGGGGAGGTGGTGGGCTAACAGAGGAGGACTGATGGCTTAGATTTATTTGGAGAGGGACTTTAAGAAAAGCCTTTGATCATCCTGAGTTACAGATTTCTTCTTTACAACAACATTCACTTGTTAATTTATTTGAAAACATAAATTAGGAACATCTAGAAGCCAGACACTATGTAAGATGTTGGAGAAACAGTGATGAATGTGACATCAGCTTTGCTTTAAAATATGAAATATATAATCTAGAATGAGCTAGATATAAACAATTGCTGTGATAGGTTGTGACCAGGATGGTTTTGGTGTCCCTCTTTGAGAAGAAGCTACTGTTACTCGTGGCAGACTCGGAGAAATTTCTGGCAAAATGATATCTGAGAGAACACCTGAGGAATAAATTAGCAGTTATCTGTGTGAGAGCTAGGAAGTAAGAAGAAGGGAACTGGACAAAAAAGACAAAAAGCATACAAGCCCACAGACAGGAGAGGGCCTGGGTTAATCTGAGGTCGTGTCAGTATATATTTCAGTACGAGTTAAGAGTATACAGTGTAAGGATAGAAGAGAGTGGAGCTGGACCCAGAATCTTGTAGGTTGGTTGCAGGAGATTGGCTTTTGTCTCAAGGAAAGAAAAAAAGCCACAGAAAGCTTTTATTCAAGAAGATTCAATATCTAAAATTATGTTTTAGGGATAGAATTCTTAATGTAGTGAAGAAAGAGAATGGTCAATTAGGAAGCTGTCAAAATAGTCTAAATGGGAATAAAGATGCCCTGAAACATGGCAACATGGCAATGCAATAGAAATGGAAAAAATATGCTTTAGATTCTATAGGCAATGAGAAGATAGAGTAGAGATGCAGCTAGGGTTTTTTTTTTTTTTTTTTTTTTTTTTTTTTTTGAGGTGAGCAGAAGTCAAGAAAAGTTGGACTTTGGTTTGAGGTGATAGATGACCAATTACTAAAATTCATCTGATCATTATATATCATACCCATGAATTAAAATGCTGCACTGTGCCCCACAAATGCATAGTTTCTATGAGGATATATATAAATACTGGACTTCAACAGTGTGATAGTATTTTGCTTTCAGCAAGTAGGAGTGAAGTAACTCAACCCCCATGATAACCTCTCACACTTTATACTTTGTATGTGTATTTGCCTTAAGAGACCATCAACAAAAACATTCTCAGTTTTTGCCTTGAAGACCACAGGCGACACCAACCAGTACTTTACCTTGCTTTCATTTCTTTTGTAGAAAGAGAAGTTAATTAACATCCTGTTAATTAACACCAATCCTTCTCTTTCCTGGAGTCTTTTGCTTTATCTTCTCTCCCTTACATATCTACACTCTTTCATTTTAACTTTTAAAGATACTGGGCCAGTGATACAGCTCAATAGCATAGCACCTGTCTGGCAAGTATGAGATCCTGAGTTCAATTCTCAGTACCAAAAGAAATAAAGAAAGAAAGAAAGTTACTAGAATTTAAAAATACTCAAGCTAGGTTCTGGCCGAATAGCTCAGTGGATCAAAGCTCCTATAAGCAGGCTCAGGGGCCAGGGGTGTGATCCCTGAGTCTGCTGTGCCAGACCCACACCCAGGGCATGCTGAAGCTTCTATTGAGACTGGGTTTAGTGGTGCGCACCTATAATCCCAGCTCTTGGGAGGCTGTAAACAGGAGAATCACGATGAGTCCAATCTAGTAACAAGACCCTGAACACCTGTAGACCTTCCCTAAAATACAGAAAAAAATAAATAAAAATAAAATACTTATAAAAATAATAAATAGTTTATATTGAAGTGACTTGGAAAAATAGAGAACATTCTTAATCTTCCAAGAATAAAACTGAGGCCTAGAAATTATCTGATTGCAATTCCTTGTCACAGTGAACAGGATGGTGGTTTGGTCTCTGAGACTCAGTGAAATGCGTGTTTGTAGGTCTTTTGTTGGCATAGCTACAAAATGTTAGATAGTCCAAGCTTCATGGTACACACTTCCGGTGAGAGGTAGTATATTTCTTTGTATGTTATTTGATGTCCATGTTCTTTGTTTGCAGAAAAATGTAAGTTTTCACTTTGTTGTCATTTGTTTGGGTACTTTCTTTTAGTATTTCTATAGCAGCTACTATACATGATACATGGTTAGCTGAAACAGAAAGGATTTTCTCTTTTTAAATAATAATGAAATATCTCAAAAGAGAAGTTTCTCTCTTCATTCTTTCTAGGGACTTCAGGTAATGCCTCACATCCTTCCTGACTACAGAGGACTCACGGTCCTCTTTTTTATCTTCCTTACATTGCTATATTCCAGCATCTGGAGGGCGATTGTCAGAGAGGTTCTTTGCTGCTTACCATTCCACCTTCATCTGTTTGTCGTCCAGATTTGGAGTTCTACACCCCAAAAGTTTGACAGAAAAGAATACTTAAATTCAAATGATGTATTACAGGAAAATGTGCATTACCATCAATCTGCCTCAAAATACTCACCTCAGTCTGAATATATTTATCCCATTGTTCTTGACACTTTCTGAAGCAGTTCTAGAAGAATTCTTTCTTGTCTTTAGTTATACCATCATGGCTGCCTTGATATTCTGAATCCATTCAAAAATTTTAACCTCTGTATTAGCTACTGTCCCAGTTTTTTGTTTGTTTTTTTTTTAACCAGGGATTGAACTGAGGCCCTTGTGCTTGCCAGGCAAGGGCTTATTCTACTGAGCCATCTCCCCAGCCCTGTCCCATTGTTGAGACAAAGTACCCTAAACCCACAGCTGGAAGGAGGAAAACTTTGTGTGGCTCACAGTTTTCACTGAGTTCAGTCCAAAGTCAGTTGGCTCCAAGGTAGAAACAGCAGGGTGCAAGGGATGGGGAATGAAAGCTGTTTAACCTACATCAGCCAGCAAGCAGAGAAAAGGGAGGTGCGGGGAACAATAATATACTATTCTAGGTTAGATCCTTGGTGACCCACCTCTAACCGCATCCCACCACCAGTATAACATTCAGCTCCTGGAGTCACTCACCAGCAAGTCTGCAGATGAGTAAAGCCCCTCCTGGTTGAATCGACATCCAGAACTTCTCTAGCAGGTGGGAAGAGCAATGGAATAAGAATGCTTGTGTTTGAGGCAAGGCAGACTACTTAAAGGGTGTTTCATGGCAATATTTCTTTTACTGTGTTAAGTTTTTAAATTTAAACATGTGCCAAATGGTTTGATCACATTTTCATTCTTCATGGCTGCTGTTTACTATGAAACACACTCTGAGGAACTTGCCACATGCTTTGTATGTGGCCCTGGAAGGGAGACACTCAATAATGCAAGTAACATATAAGTTTAATAAGAGGTTAGAAAAGCAAACAGGCCAAGCATGATCCCATTCCACTTGCCCCAAAATTAGTTAACAGTACAAGGATTCCTGAAAACCATAAGCATAGATTTTTTCACTAGTCTGTGAGTAAAAGCCTACCTGGAATACTAATTTAGGCAGCAAACAACATAACCAGGTATGTGTGTTGGCTGAGAGGTTTATGAGAGAACAAACTAGGAGACAGGAAGTAGTCTTCAGTAGCAAGTTGGCAATAATGTAGCTGTTTGACCTTATCCATGTCACTTTCTCCTAAGGGCCACATTTTATCATTAATGGAAAGGAATGCATGGGTGATTCCAACAGACCACATCAATTAGGCTTAAGTTTTTAAACTGGCTTAAAAATGAAGGAAATGTATTAGATCATGAAATGGGAAACTTAAGAGTAGGCTGTCTTCAGATAGGATTTAATTTAATGTCCCAACTATGTGGCCTAAAGATCCAGTTTTAATATTAGCTTCATTGGAGGCTGGTTTCCAGATGGCAGCCAGAAGTCAGAGGCTATTGGGCACCTCAGGTAGTAAGACAGAGTGTGTTTACATAAGCTCCCAGAAATCATTCTGGAAGTTACACTGTTTTTACCAGCTAGGTAGCAAGTATTTTATCCCTTACAATAACCATGAGCTGGGAAAATGAGCATACTAGGTTGTATAACCTATATGTGTTCCAAGCCTGGAACAGAGAGTCATTTCTCTGGAAATAATTGAATCTTTACATGCAAATCAAAGGTGAGAGGGAAAAGTTATATGATGGTTTATATCTAGATATTCCCTTAAAGCTCTTGCAACAAGTTGGACATTGGGAAAGTGTTTGGATTATAGTTGACTTGCTGATAGAAGGCATTTTAGTTGACTTGCTGTTAAGAGGTGGAACTTGCTCAGGAGAGGTGGGTCACTGTAGATGTGATTTGATGGGGTGTGTCTTGGTAGGGTGCGTCTCCCTTCCTGGCTCTTCCCTTCATCCTCTGCTTCCTGTTGACCATGGTGTGAACAGCTTTCCTCCACCATGCCCCTCTGCTCTGCTGTCCTGCCTCAGAGCCCACTGAGCATGGACTAAAGCTCAACCAAAATAACCCTTTGCTCCTTTAAATTGTGGGCATTGAGTATTGTATCTCTGCAGAAAGAAAGTTACCAAAAGGGTGAGCGAAATTCTGAAGACAACAAACAAGTTTCTACTCTGGATCTCCTGAGTTTCAACGTATTATAGTTGGTTTTTCTGCCCCAGTGAGAAGCAAGTTGACTTTGAGCACAACAGTAGATGCCACTTGAAGATCTTTGTGCTTGGAAATTTCCATTGCCTTTGAATTTTGCCATAACCGTGTGCCAAACAGGAAACCACACAGTGACTTCTTAGCTCAAAGCTTTTTGGTTTTGCTGACAGTTAATGAGAATAAAACACACACAGTAGGAGAAAATATACACACATACCTCACACAGGGAATATTTTTATTTTACTACTCAGTACTTTCCATATTCTGAGTTTCTACTTCTCAAAACTCATATAAAGCTTTTCTCCATAATTTCAAAGCTTTCTAAGAATTCTAATAGAAAGCTTGACTTTTGGTGAAGCCAAATCATATTTCTCCTTCACTTGTTCCTTCAATACAGACAGAGAGAGAAAGAGAGAGAGAGAAAGAGTGAGACAGAGACAGAGAGACAGAGACAGAGAGACAAAGACAGAGAGAGACAGAAACAGAGAGAGAGCAGAGACAGAGAGAGACAGAGACAAAGAGAACAGAGAACAGAGAGAGACAGAGACAGAGACAGAGACAGAGACAGAGAGAGAAACTGCTATCAGAAAACATGATGATAAAGAGCTTTACTGTTTACAACATTTCTTTTTTTTCTGTATTTTAGGGAAGGGTCTACAGGGTGTTCAGGGCCTGACTACCAGATAAGATTCATAGCTATTCTCCTGTTAACAGCCTCCCAAGTGCTGGAATTACAGGCATGTGCCACCATGCACAGTCTCAATTGCCTTCTCAGTGTGCCCCATGTGTGGGGCCAGCACAGCAGGCCTGGGGATTGAACTCCAGCCCGTGTGCCTGCTTGCAGATGCTGTCATCTGCTGAGCTATTTGGCTGGCTCTGTTTACAACATTCAAGCAGTGATAACAAAGGGCCAAATGTAAAATAAAGAGAACCCTGGAAGTTGGACAATTTTGGGTTAATTCGGTAGATAAACATCAATGTAACTGAACTAGATTCGTTCCACTTCGCACTTGTCCTTTCTTATCATGCCTTAATATCTTCTTAGGTGACTCTCATGATCCCAAGATGGCTGGTACAACTCCATATGCAGAATGCTGATAGAAATTCTAAACAGAGGAAAAAGTTTTTCCTCCTCCTTTTTTAAAAAACAAAGTCATATAGTTTTCTGAGCAGATTTCTTAGGTCTCTTTGGCCAGAATAGTGTCAGATGCCCATCCTTCATCCTTGGAAAGGTGAATAAATCAGTTGGTTTCCAATCAGGTCCACCTTCTAGGAGGTGGGGAAAGACCTGCCCTTACATCACATGGTTGCCTGATACCTGGAACAAACAGTCTGCACAAAGGATTTTTCAGGGAAAAAATTCAGGAACAGATTGTGCAGAATGCAGCCTGTCTCTTTCTCTCTCTCTTAAGTCCTACTTCATCCCCATAGATTGTCCTCACATCTCACTGAAAAGGGGTTCAGAACAGGACTGTTGGAAATACCAGTTTGCCACAATATCCAGTTCATCCTCTTCTTTGGGGCCATAGGAAGAAGGGCAAGCATCTTAATAGTATTGTGTCTTGGTTTAACTCCTATGAGATGGAATAACATCATAATATCTCCCTCACTGGACATTTTTGAAAGTCAAATGAAACAAAATATGAAGAAATGACACATAAATGTACTAGCACACCATAGACATTAGTTCCTCTCTTGCTTTTGCATTCCCTCTTACTTTCTTTTGCCTTCCAACTTCCATCTATGGTTCTAGAAAGAAGAGGGTCACATGGTAATAAGTACAATACATTTTCAAATAACTGACTTTTAGTTTATTTTAAAATTTAGGAATCTATTCTATGAAGTAAGTGCTAACATATTCATTTTGCTTCATATTTCAGTCTGCATAACCTTAATCTACCTGGATTCAGAGCTCACAAATTTAGTGCTTCACCTTTGACTTCTGGTCATCTCTTACTGGCCAACTGTTAGAGAATTAATCAAGAAGAGACTGGCTGGCTAAGTTCCATCATTTTTCTCTTACAATTTCCTTGTACCATCTTGGTTTTAGATGTCCCTTTCGTGCAGTGTTCAAGTTATAATGCTATATGCTTAGCTAGCATACAGAGGTTTTACTAGAGTGTCAATGAAGTTGAAACTGAGGTAACAAAGCTTTGATGAGAGCTGACTTCCAGAGAAGAGTTCAGAAGATGACCAGAAATGAGAGAGGAGAAAGAGATGGAGGACACACTGAGCAAAGAAAACCATATACATAAATCTTTGGTGGGAAGAAAGTATCACTGAAAGTCTTACAAAGAAAAAAATAAACTCATTTCAGTGAAGGAGAGTTCTGGCAGGAGGTGTGGCTGGAAGGCATTCACACTTTGTTCTGTCAACTATGAAGACATTCAAAGGTTTAGTCAGGGAAGACACATGATCAAACTTGTTTTAGTAAAATCATTCTCATAGAGGATGAAAGGAGGCTTTGAGTTGTTTTTTTTCTATGTTGGATGAAATATCAGTCTGTGAACCAGAACTGTAGGAAGGAGGAGGAACAGTTTTGGAAAGGAAGACAATGAGCCATCTCAGGACACAGAG